GTGTTTTGTGTAGTTGCGGCTTAACTTTCTGCCATTATTTATTACTCGGGTATGCATTTAAAGATTCAGGAATCAGAGATGGATGCAAAAAGAGTAACACCGTTCACATACCATGAATCTCAAAGTACTGGCAAAACCAGAACTTTAAGGTATGCTAAAAACTACTTTTCTCTACTAGGCTACAATTTTCAGAAGTAACTATTTCAGTAATAGCAGGGTCACGGAATGTGCAGTCGCTGTATTTTATACAAATACAAAAAACTATTACAAAATAACTATTTTCCTTTAATGAGAACCAAACGTTGCACAATTCACATGGCCATCCATTGCCATCAAGGCCGATCCATGTATTTCTTGCTCAGAAACTGGGGTTTTCTGAATATTGCTGAATCTAAATCAAAGAGCATCACAGCCCTCAATAGTCACTATCAAAAAGTAAAGAAAATGGGACCATGGGACTTCAAAAAGTTCTCCCAAAAACAGTTCAAACACATTTATTTGTGGAAGAAATATGGTAGTAGTCAGGTGGATATGAAGTGGAACCGTAATTTTCAGGCAAATGCTAATTTTCCAACAAGAGAGAGAAATAGAGAGAGAGAGAGAGAGAGAGAGATAAAGATAGAGAGAGATAGAGAGAGAGAGAGAGAGAGAGAGAGAGAGAGAGAGAGAGAGAGAGAGAGAGAGCCCACTCGAAGCTATTATAGATTCAAAATAAAATACAGATAGCTTTGGAAAACAGTTTTCATATCTAAACAAAATCGAACAAAAAAGAAAAGAAACAGCATTAGTGTCTGTGCCTCTACTAGTACCAAGGTCGTCTATAAAATTAGTTACCTCTTTATGCAGGTGTATTACACATTTAACAATTCACTTCATTGTTGCGGACACCACCAAGGGAGCGTGTCATCAATTTGTTTAGCTGTGTTGTGACACTAAATGTCTGTGAAATGTGTGCGCGGGTGGCGAAAGTTGTGTGTTTGTGTGTGAATATATAAAGAGAGAGGAATATATATATATATATATATATATATATATATATATATATATATATATATATATATATATATATATATATGATTTATATATATATATATATATATAATTTATATATATATATATATATATATATATATATATATATATATATGTATATGTATATATATACAAATATTTATATATATACACACACGCATTTATATATATATATATATATATGTGTGTGTGTGTGTGTGTGTGTGTGTGTGTGTGTGCGTGTGTGTGTGTGTATTATTTGTATATCTATATATTTATCTTTATATCACCATCTTTATCTCTCTCTTTATACATACATATATATATGTATATAACACACACACACTTATATACATCCATATATATTTGTATGTATACACACTCACACACACATACACATTTATATACATACATATATATATATATATATATATATATATATATATATATATATATATATATATACACATATGTATAATCACACAAATATATATATATATATATATATATATATATATATATATATATATATATATGATAACAGCGCTTGTGATGAAAATCATTATTGTGCATTTGCTAATGTTTCTAAGACGACTGTCTTCATCTTCAGTGTTATGAGACACATAAATGATACATTTACCCTGTTCAAACATACATCACATTTACAATTGTTTCTATCCCACCCTAATAACCAACATCATACCATTAAGTTTATCTGGAAAATGAAAAAAAAATCCAACTTTCCTGTCCCGATACACTTCATCACCAAAGACAACTGTCGATTGTTTACAGAAAACCTACTTTTACCGGTTTAGGTATGCGTTATTTTAGCTACGTATAAAAAACTACAAGAATAAAAGCATATCTACCTTAATCAAAAGAGCATATAACATTTACTCAACTTTTACTTTGTACCCAGGCAGTACGTTTCAGAAAACCCCGAGATTACTCTTAAATAATAATAATAATAAAAAAAAAAATGCCATCCTCTAAATTCTACGTCTACTCCTAAACAAACTAAAGATATTATAGTACTGTATCTCGGACGATTAAGTTATTGCGTTCGAAAATAACTACATGAATTTCTAAAATATTCATTCATCCGGGTTAAATTTAATATAGCTGTCACGAATAACCACAATATTAGCACTCTTTAAAGAAGAATATTTTGCTTCAGATTTATATTCATGCATTGAATATGTTTAATTGTCCTAGCTGTAATACAAGGTATATTGGATCAACGACTCACTGGTCACTGGTTTAAGCACAGAATTCTTGAATATATAGGAAGTCCTTAAAAACAGGCTAATCTCTGAGCAAACTGGCGTTCTCTGCAATTTGTCAACAATCACATATGGAAAACCCTACACTCACAAAGATTTCAAAATTTTGTCTATATCTTCCAACAGACTTGACCTCCTAACTCTGAGTCTTTGTTTAATCACAAAATGAAACCAGAGCTTAACAACCGCAGCACAACCACAAAACTATTTACAGTGTACTCATGTGACTGTAACCAACTGTTTCACCTTTTATGTTTTTTTTTTTTTTTTTTTTTTTTTTTTTTGGGGGGGGTTCTAATGTAATTAATTTGTTCGTTTTTGTAGTAGAGATTAAGACAGTCGTCATTGAAACATTTGCAAATGCACAATAAAGATGTTCATTGCAGCCTTGTTTATTATTTTCATCATAAGATTGCGCTTCCCTCACATATATGTGTATATATACACATATATATATATATATATATATATCTATATATATATATATATATATATACATATATGTGTATATATAATAGCATAACAATGTGAAAATGTATCGCACATAACAATATAAAATCATTAGAAATGACAATATTCAGTGCTTTACTGTAATAACTAGGTACACCTTGTGTAACTGACATTTACTAGGAAATCAGTGGTTTGTATTATATGGCAAACAAAAACAAATCTTGACGCATGAAAACTTCTGTGACGTCACCTTTACTGGCCTCTTATAATCATAAATTTATGGTAGTTATGCACTCGTCCCGCAAAACGTTCAGTCTCTTTTTGTCCGTTGCTGAGTAGTATATATTGTGTGTGTGTGTGTGTGTGTGTGTGTGTGTGTGTGTGTGTGTGTGTGTGTGTGTGTGTGTGTGTGTGTGTGTGTATGTGTGTGTGTGTGTGTGTAGCCGCCTGCCTGTGTTTCATGGTGCAATATAAACCTACAGCTGTAAATATCTGTCGGTGTTCAAATAACGCATTCAAATATCCCGCGAGCGAGTTCTTATTAAGCCCTTCAAGATTTTAACCTGTAAAATGAACTACCGACTACACTGAATGTAGAACCTGTCAATGCGGAATTTAATACATTAGTTATTGCGACACACACAGTTAAAGTATATAAATGATAACACCGGCTAGAGAAATACGGAGGCCGGTTCAGTGACCTTTACTAAATCCCCTGCCTTAGGAGCGGTTTTTGGCTGATGGCGCTCGTTGTGGTACGTTCTTCGCGTAGGATCGGGTTCATTTGTTCGTTTGGGAATTTGTAAGCTCTGTTGTACCAGTTTTAAACACACTAATTATAACAGTCCGGTGTTACTACCAATGTGTGATAATGGCGATGGTGGGTGGTGCTACGAAATATTATCAATAAGCCCCTGTCTTATGTATAAATGAATAAATTTCATTACCCACAGTTGAAATTGATTGACGATACAGCGCGACCAACTCGGGGAGTAAAATTTATCGTAGTTTGGTATACTATGATCCATATTTCTTTTTTC